CTTATTTTTATAGGGCTATAAGAGAAATCGTACATATGTACGATTAATTTTTCATTGAAGGCCTGTAATGTTACATATTCAATTTGTTCAAGCAGGCCTTGAATGTCCTTTGACATATATTTTGGGTCAAAACTCTCACGAACATGTGACCCAGCTATTAACATTATCATTATGAGTTTTGACCCGTCTTTTTGCTTCTTTTTTTGGGGTGAGTTTATAGGTCTGCTGGATTCAAGCGCGCCTACTTCCATCCTGAATGCATACTTTATGTTCGAACATAAGAATTGCCCATCAGGACGAACGCCGAGATTTGATTTACCCGCTTCATCCGAAAAATCATCGGCATTATAATTAACAAAAATCAAATCTTCTTTTTGTGAGATTGAAGATCGTGACGAGGGTTGACGGGAGGATGACCGTGACCGCGAGCGTGTTGACGCCTCTCTGCTCGCCTCTCTTCCTGCCTCATAGCTTGAATCCGTAAAAGATTCATCCCTATATAAATTAAAGTTTTGTTTCATGAACTTATTCGAGAAAAGCAAATATGGGGATGGGCCAAAAAAATTTTTTTTTAAAAAAAATTCAATAACTTGAAGAATTAGGTTGACTAAAATAAAATTATCATCTAATTTTTGGCCCATCCCCTTTTGTTGTGGGGTCCTATATATACGTACATTTTATATTTAACGTTTTTTAAATCTTTAACTAATGCCTGAAATAGCGGATATAATACTTCGATATGCCAAGCTTTTTCAGTCATATTTTCAAAGCCCATTTCATAAAATTTTATTTGAATGCGTTTACTATCAAAATCATTAATAAAATTTATAAAAATATCACATGCATACGTAGTACATGAACATCAATAATATATTAATAATATATATTTACTACGCATTTATGAATTCAATGAGCCATGGTTCTTCAATATTAGATGGAGCATGTTCTGTGGTATTTACATTATCTTTTAGCCACGAAACGAATTCATTCGAAGGATGATCAGACTTTCGCGAAGCTGGGTTATCGACAATTAGATAGTATTCTTCATTAATACTATCTAATTGCGTGTCACTAATAGCATTATGTTTATTGTGCTTTAGTAGAATTTGTTCTTTAAAGGTAGTCAAATAATTTTGGTCAGATTTAGGCTGGATCGCCTGGGACAATCATAATATATATTAAAAAGATTTATTTTATTATATTTATATTTTAATTTTAATTTATTTTTTATTTTTTATTTTTTATTTTTTTATTACCATTAAATTTTCAGCCATTTTACGCCAAGGAGTCTCTCTTTCCGAATTAAATTTTTTTTCTATCTCTAGAAACTTTCTATGCGCAACAATATTTGACTGAATATCATCCCAATTATCAACAATTGTCTGTTTATCATGCTTAAATATAAAATATTAATTAAAATAAAGATTTTATCTTTTTAAAAATGACTTAAATCGGTTAAAATGAATGCCAACCCGCAATTGACCCATCATAAATGTTTTCTTCTCAGGTTGGCTACTATAAAATAATGAAAATTCTTGCTGATAATCATTTATAGCAATGATAGATGAATCATATTTTTCTGGAAAATCTTTTTGAAAAATAAGCCAATTTAAAATATTAAGATCATTTAAATTCTGAGTGGATTGAAAGAATTCCATTTTTAAATCAAAAGAAATTTTATTTCTTATGCGAGAAAAAAAACGAAGACAAATTTTTACAAACGATCGACTATCGATTAACAAGCTATTTATATAATAGAAGATAACTTAAGAAATAAATACAAGCGTTCGTGATATGATCATGAAATTGGCAAGTGCGCGTTTATGTGTTATGCATTTTCCGTTTAGACTGTAATAATTATCAATTACTATCTTAAGTAATAATATATTATGCGTTTTTCTCATTTAATGTGTTCTTTCTCATCTGATTATCTAAACTAATTCTAAATTGGTATACATCTAGATGGTTCTGACATAATTTTTCGAAATCGAATTCCACTACTCGGATACTGAAATATATGGTTAGATATCGTAATTCACATATCCAGTACCATGTATTTAAAAATTTTGTACAACATGTATGCATGAAACCGTTTCAAAATTGATAATTTTCTGAAAAAGCAATTGTCTCGAAAAGACGTCCTGACGACATCAACTAATGCTGAATTCTGACCGGATTATATTCTTTTGGGAAAATGGCAATAGCATAACTATTTATGTAATAGGCATAAAATGATTGGGGTGTGATTAATACTAAACTGACTTACCAATTCTTTTTGTTAAAATGATTAGGTTGTGATTAGTATTAAACTGACTTACCAATTCCTTTTGTTAAATTTTTTTTTTTTGATATCATTTTTCAAGTATTGGAATTTCTAAAATTATTTACCGTGTTATTACGGAGTAAAAACCAGAGGTATTGTAAGATATTTAACTATACATAGTAATTAATTCTAAGGAGGGTGCTATAATAGAAGCAAGTACTATATACTAGAATTAAATACTATTGTTAATAGTCGTAAATTCATATTTTCTCTTTCAGATGTAGTCAATACTATACAACGTGGACCATAGTACCTCTAGTGCTGTGCTACAACTAATTTCTTTCTTCTTAATGTATTCGCAAAATTTTTAGATTACTCGATATATAGGATCTTTGCCATGAAAAAATCACGTTATGGAACATATGATTTACCATGACCCATAACGTGATTTCAAGGCAAAGACTCTATATAATTCTTAACAAATTTTATAAAAAGTCAAAATTTACAATTAAGATTTTTTAATTATTTAGTATATATATATAATTAGAAAATTTATAAATATTTAAGCTATAAAAAATATTGTATAAATAATATATACTGTATAATTAAAAAACATTAAATCTATCGTAGATCTCATAATGAATAACCCGAAAGAACAGTAACTTTATACTGCGAGGATACCCTGCTGGTTTAAAATATTTAAGACTGGCAGTTAAAATTGAAAATCAGCAATTTTAGATATTTTAAATAATTGATAAAAATCAATATCATATTTAATAATATAATTAATTATAGAGGATTTCTATTCGTACTCAGTTACCCAGCATATGAAAAAAAAAAAATTAAAAATCGCTAATATCTTAAAATTTTACTACGAAAACCAATCTAAAGATCTTAATCAAAAAATGGTCAGTACTCTATTTTACACTTTTCCAATATTTGCCCTAATAACATTCCATAATACACAAATACACAACATAAATCCCCAACAAACATTTAGATTCCTCAGAACCTACTTCACTATAAATGCACGCAAAAAACTGATAACCAAAACAATCACCTA